GACAGGTCCTTCAAACATGTTTTCTTAGGAGTCGTTGTTACGTGGCGTGGCTATGCGATGCTTTGAGGGAAAATATCCCTCAATTCAACTTCCCGTGCTCGGCTACCAGGACATGAAGTGAGGGAAAATATCCTTCGCTTCATGATACAGCTTGCTGTAGCGCGTGGTTATGACGAATTGACCGATGGCGTCGGTCAAAACACTTGGGACACCTCGGCCTGTAGCACATGATGAATTGACCGATGTAGCACATGATGAATTGACCGATGTAGCTATGCATTGTGTGCATAGTTTTATAGGACCGAAAGCTTGTGTCACGGGGCAACACGGGCCGTGGGACACCTCGGCGGCTCAAGCGCTAGCAGCTCCCTTGTCTCAGTGGTTATGTCTCTGCACCACCCCTCCCACCTGCGACCGGGCATTAATGAACCAACATTGCCCATTAATGAATCAACCCGTTCCATTATTGACTCAAACTTGCGAAGAACGAAGTCCTCTGGAACTCGGGAACTTGGCCGCTTTTGCGCACTTTTCGGCCCAAAAGAGAGCGGTGACGAAGCGGTGACAAGCGGTGACAAGCTCGGCGGGATGGAATTTGCCTGTTTTCCGGGCTGAATGCGGAATCCAGAGCAAAGTGAGCGTCTGGAGCCTGGTGACAAAGGCGGTGACAAGTTCGGCAGGCTGTCGTGTCACAAGCCAGGACCTCGGAGGCTGCCGCGTTCCGAGCAAGGTCCTCGGCAGGCTGTCGTGCCGCGGAAAACCCTGCGAAGAACGAAGTCCTCCGGAACTCGGGAACTGGGCCGCTTTTGCGCACTTTTTCGGTCCAAAAGTGAGCGGTGACGAAGCGGTGACGAACGGTGACAAGCTCGGCGGGATGGAATTTGCCTGTTTTCCGGGCTGAAAACGGAAGCGAGCGTCTGGAGCCTGATTTCGACCGAAAACGAGCGAATCTGGAGGCTCAGGCACCACACTTGCCATCTGGCACGAAAAAACGAACTTTTCAGAGTTGGCCGTTTTGAGCGCTTTTTGCACCAAAAACGGAGCGGTGACAAAGACCGGTGACATCGGAAAAACGTTCAGCTGGATGGAGAATTTGGCTGTTTTGCAGGGTTTTGGGACCAAAAATCCAAAATTAATTGGTTACTATAAGCTGGTGTTCCTTACTTCTGTTGTTAACCTCGATGCAGAAAAAGCTGGACACGCATTGTCAGTCTCCCTGCTTCTTTGGGCCTGCACCTTTAAGCAACAGTGGAAAAAACGGGTTTTACCGCATTGCTTTTTTCTTTGCTTGCTCTCCGTTCAACGGCTTGAAGCAGTGAACAGGATTCTACTTCTAGATGCTTGGTAGAACGCCACTTGCTGTGCGGCTTCTCTTGCGGTGGGGCGCAATCCAGCCACAAAATACAAATTCTTAAAGTGACGTGCCTGTGCAAATCCTCTGCCGTTTTGGGTTTGCAAACCTCCTGGTTTGTGCTTGACCTTACTTGTTCCACCGTCCTGGTGCAGGTACTTTTCGTAACAACCGCGGCGGTGACGTGATCCCGCCATTGGAGTGCACTCTCCGAAGTGTTGGAAGACTACCCGTGCCCAGGTAGGTAGATTTGGTGCTGCAACTGTGAGTGGTGCTGGCACAGGCCATAAATCTGGGTTTCTGCGGGGTCGGGCTCTGGCTGGGTTCCCTTTGGGGGTTGGTTGCTTTTGGTTTTGGCCCCTTGTTGGTTCTCCTGCTTGGTTTCTTTTTGCTTTTTGGTTCCTGGGCGGTTTCTTCCGGCTTTATGGATTGGTAGTTTCCCAAGCACCGTCGTTTGAACTGATTCCGAAGGAAACAATAACCGATTAGAAACTGTTTGGGTTTCGTTCCAAACCTGCCAAGTTGTCCTCGTACTACTCACAGAGCTGGGAGCCGTTTTGCGTCTGGCTTTCCGTGGATGACCCGCTGCCTTTTCTCTTGAAAAAAATCAGAGATCGCAAATTGAAATCGCACCGAGCAGCTGGCAAAAACCGCAGTGGGGCTGCGCAATCAGGTCGAAGTGAAAGAGTGCGCTATGAAGGGACAAGAATCGATTCTCTGGGAGTAGGTTCAGGAGCAGTGCATGACCTGCAAAACTATATTTTGCGGTTTTGGTCGCGCAGGCTGCGCTGAGTTCGCACGGTTTATACCATATGCTTGCTGTGGCACGAACTATGCGATATGCTTCCTTGATTTTCATGCCGTGTTTTTTTTCCTTTTTTTTTTTCCCTGGGCCGAAAAAACTAGGTGGGCTAAGTGAATTTGAATGCTTGCGGCTGGATTGGAAGCCGTGTGCCAAACTGCGTTGACACAAGTCGGTTTTGGCAACTGGCCATGGTACAAACCTCAAGGAACGGGGTCAACGTGTCACCCTGAATGTTTGCAGCGCGGCGTGTGCCTCAGTTGGAAACAAGTTAGTTCGCTTGCAGTGCATCAACGCTTTGGCGAAATTTGCAGCAAGACACCGGACCCACGTCTGAAACGAACTTTTCGTACAAAGCGAAACCTTCTTAGTTGCACCAGCTGGCGTTCGGGCAATCCTTTGTTTTAGGTCGTTCCAAATTACACTCTTTCAATTTGTCCATGTTGTGTGGAACGCAATTCTGGTCTGGCGCGCCTTGTTGTGTACCCCAGGTCATATGACCACTGGTGGTTTTGGCCAGTTTGCCGACGGCAAAAAAAAAACAGTGTGTCAGACCAGAACAAAATGGGCCTTAACCATCATGTTTTACAAAGAGAAAACAATGCCCGCTTGCATCGTTTTCCTTCTTTGGGCTCACCCCCAAAAATGTGCATCCCAAGACGACTAAGTCAGCAAGGCCAGTGCCTTGCAGACGTGATTTTCCAGCTGCTTTGCAGCGATGGACGGCTCAGGCTGAAAAAGGGGAGGCTTTAAACGCAGCCAATGATGAAACGGACCATGCATGCGTGGTCATTCTTATTTGATCAGCATGTGAAGTAAGTGCCCAACTGGACGTGTTTAAATAGTTCAGGTAAGTGGCTGCAGCACCAACTCTGCTAGTTGTAAAGAATTGATGAGATGGGCCCTTCGCTGCAGGTGCGGCAGCGGGGGCAAACACGCTGGGGATGCTGGGATGCAGATGATGCTAGGGATGCTGGGAATGCAGATGATGCTAGCGATGCTGCAACCGTACATTGATTGCACCCCGTATAAACAAAAAACAAGCCAAAGCAGATCCGAATGGGAGGGTCTTGCTTGGGCTTTCAGTAAGACGAAAGACGGCGGATTTGGATGAAGCACGGTACGTGTTTGTGGCAGCATTTGGTTGAAACGATCGGTGAAACATTGCATAGTGATGCATTTCCGGAGCGTTCACCATATGTGTCGTAAATCTTGTTTGCTGCTGTTGGTTCTGTGAAGGGGTAGGTGAATCATAGCATTCGAATATGGAATGTGTGCAGCAGCACGCATTTGCAGTCCTAGTTGCAACATGACAGAAGTGGCACCTTCGCAACAACGGAAAGCATTTGCCAAAAGCTCCCTCCTGTTTCGTTGAAGCAATGTGATTTAAATGTACCAGAATCATGCACTTGGAAGTGTGTTTCCACGGGTCAACAACACTAACACTCATGCAGTGTCGGTTTCCGCTCGGACCGCTGGCATTGTGTCAATGACTGCCGTGCCCTTAGCTCTGATATCCACACTGAAAAGAAACACTTTTGAGTGAGAGTTGATCGAGTTGGAAGGTTGCTGGAAGCTCAGCTCGTGGCCGCGTTGTGCTTTTTGAGGCACGGTGCTGCAGATGTCCTCTTCGTCTAGGCTTCCGCCCCTTCCCTCAGGCAAGCTTGACACTTCCGAGATTTGTTTGGCAACTTGTCATGGACCATCTCATGGCACTGAAAAATGGCTTCAAGGAGACAGCATGTCGTGTTGCGAGGGGATTCATTGGTTCAAATCAGGAACTGGGCTTGGCAACGAGGCCAGGAGTTTGTCAGCCGGGTTGCGCTGTTGTCTGTCCGCGAACAATCTGCGTAGATGCATGCAGGCCGCCAATGCTGTGGATGGACGAAATCCATTTCGCACCACCTAACAAAACTCTGCAAGTCTGGTGTCAACCATGGTTTCATCGTGGTGCAAAATGGTTTTCGAAACCATCCACGGTATTGGCGCTGTGTGAACTGACTGAGGGTGCCACCCTTGTTGACGCGCCGTGGCCAAGCGCTCGCCTCAACCGAACGGAGTTGGTCCAAGTGGAACGCTTGAGGATCTTAGGACCACAACTTCTACTAGAAATGAGCGAAGGTTTCTAATGAAATGCCCCCTGTGCGTATTTGCAGGCCTGGAGACCAGGAAGACAAGCATTTGAAGGGGTGGTTTTGAGAGACGCCCAAATGAGCCCGTGTCCATGAATGCTGGCATATTGGCTCAGTCGCGTGCAGTGCAACATTCAGCGGGGATTTCTCCACTTCGTCCAAGGAAATCATGTGCCCCATGCAAACAACTGATTTTTCGCATCCAAAATCGATCCTTTGATTTAGGCAAGGACACAAACACACACACGCACAACCTATTCAAGCCAAGAATGGCTTCTGGGCAAGGATAGACAGAATGTGGCCGCTTCGTGACGAACGTGTGCTGTGCTCAAGGCCAGGGATTGTCGAGACTTAATCCGATTGGATCAGCAATTGACGCATCAACGGCAAGCGTTGTCGGGTGTTGTTCTGGGACTTATGTGAATTCTTTGATGGGTTGCCACGTTGTTGGCCATCGGTGGCCAGAATTGGTTCCTACTCCAGTCAGCATCATTTCCACTTGCCGCGCTTGGTTGCTCAGATGTTAAGTATGCTGTTTTCCTACACATGCCTTTGTATTTGCGAGGGGGTCAGATCCGAGATTCGACCCAATGGAGAGCAAACAGGACACTTGGCTTCGTATGTTTGTGGCAAGTTTTTGCACACGCCAACTTGTCATGCTTTGAGTCCGTGCGCTTGCTTTGCTCAGAACATCTTGAGACCCACCCGACCTGAGGAGATATTTCCAGAGGGGGTATTTCACTCAGATGCTGGATATTGGGCATCAGGGCCAGAGAGTTTCGCCTACAACGACTTGATGCTGGGGGCTAGCCTGTCCTTGGAAGATCCTTGGAGCTCGCAGGCGCCCAGCTTTGAAAGCCATTGGTGTGCATACCAGGATGCATATTGCCCTGGCTTTGCTTCATCCTCGAAGCCGCGTGAGAGAGAGCTCCTCCCTTCTGGCCTGCTAGACTCACCAGTTGGCAGTCCCAGCCACGGGCCGCAGTCCATGCCCGACAGGTTCGCGAAGACCAGAGAGAGTCTTGTCGTGTGTCCAGCCCAGTTCTTGGCTTACGGATTTTCGGGCTTCATGTGAATCTTTTCGACGCCGAACTCTACTTTTCAAAAGCAGAGGGGGCTTTTTGTCCTTTCTTGGCTCTTGACTGTGAACCGAGGAAGCCTGAAAAGCGAGGACTCCCCAGGGAGTACCACCATAGCCGCGTACCGAAGAACGTGAATCTACAAGAAGAGTACGAAAGCAATCCTTCCAAGAATATTACAACTTTGATGATCCTTGGATGGTCAGGTGCAATTAGTGGCACGTGCACGTGGAGTTTTTTTGGACCAACTGTTTTTTCAGGAGCAGTCCTATGGAGGGGCAAGCCTTTTGATTGATGCTCCCTCAGGATTCGCAATATTCCCAATCGCTATACGCAGCAGGAGTGCGGCATCCATGAGCAGTTTGTTGTGCCTCATGTGTTGCGGAAATAGTTGGAGACTTGCCACAGCATATGTTGCTCGCGATCAATCAAATGTCAGCTGACGACGCAATTTTTCCTGTGAAACGCGGCCGCAGGCTTGAGAATGTGAGAGAGACAGAGGCACGGGGGCCCCACTTGCCAGGAGCTCATCTCGGAGCTTGAGGACCTTGGATTTGCTGGCACTTTCAACTTCCTGTACATCCCGCTAGACAAGGGGACCATGTCCAACGTGGGTTATGCCTTTGTGAACTTTGTGGACACCGAGTGGTCCCAGAAGTGCATCGACGCCTTTCAGAACTATCGCTTCAAGCGGCACCGCAAGACCTCGGGGAAGATCGCGGCGATCTCCGCGGCACATCTCCAGGGGCTGGAGGCCGCTCGTATGCGGTGCCGGCGGTATGTGCCGTGGGCGGCTTTCCTTTTGGGTTGGAAGAAGAGAGCATCATGATCCAAAGGAAAGAGCCCAGCTCAAAGTTGTAGGTCAAGGTTCGCCGGTCCAAGTTTCGATGGTGATTCCGATGCCAGCGCTGAGTGGGCAATACTGTCGCGTCTCATATTCGGTTGTAGCCACCGGCGATTTGTAATCTATGTCAGGGACCAAGGCTTGAAAGGCAACATGAAAGGCTGCAGACATCAATGACACTAGATGGGGCAGGGTGAAGTATATCCTGTCAGTGGCTTGCAACAACGGAGCATTGAAATGCTTCCCGGGATTGGACGCAGGCAAACCTGGCGCATTACGAGAAGTCGGCGGTGAACACTGCGAAGCTGAAGCAGCGCCGGCCGGTGGTGATGGCAAACATTTCCGGCTTGACATAGGTAGCCCAGGTTCCAACAAACCTATGGGTTCCGATCGCTTGCAGAGACTCGCATGTGTGCGGATTTTGGAACCCATTTGCTGGAAATCGTGATCCAAGGGCTGAAACAGCAATTGATTACACCGCAAGCAAGCGTAGTGAAGCACTTGAGTCGCTGGGGCAATTCACAACTGGAGAGACCTGGCGGCGTTTCACAGAGGCTAGGCGAGTGGGATCCTAGGTGGCCATGTGGGAGGGACATTGGAACAGGGATGTGGTGAGGAAATGGAGTGCCTAGTCCAATAACGCTGCCTACTGAGCATTCGTTTTGCTTTCACACTTCAACTTTATGTGTTTTGTTTTGACAGAATGAAAAGTCCAATTAAAAGTGCTCGTTGAGGCTTCCAATTCTTTCCGTCTCCCGACTGGCCACTGTGCGACTTGCTGCATTCAGCAGCCAAGAGCCATGATTTGCACAACATTTGGGAGACTGATGACGCCACTGCTTCATGCACAACACACACAGCATTTTTTGGGTTTTGACCGGGGCACACACACAACACACAACACACTTTTTTTGGGTTTTGACCGGGGCATTGCCTCACAAAGCAAGGGGGCCAGCCAATGAGCTCCTTGTCATTACTGTCTCCCAGGCATGCAAGTCTGTATAACTCTGACATCTTGGACCGGTGGGTCATGGGCAAAGCACCAAAGACACCCACAGTTTGGCTCCCAGCCAGCGGGAGTAAAGGAGACCCAAAGCTGGACATCTTGACACGAAGCGCGACCCGTCTCTCGCTCCTGTCTCTGTTTGCAGTCAGATGGCACACTCCTCTCCAATGTTTGCATTGCCCGCGGGAGGCTCGCGAGTTTCAAAGTACTCCAACAGACTTAGGGACTGGATGCCAGGCTTGCGGGGTCAAGCGGCTGGTCTTGGAGGTTCTGTTGCCCTGCAAATGTCAGCGAGGCTTCACCGTGTCTCACTTGCGTGTGAAGGGCCGGGCGCATGTTTCAGCTTCTTCCAGCTCTATGACCACAAATTCTGACATTTGAAAAAAGAGGACGCGGCAGCCATCACTGGCTAGCTATGCAAGTCGTGGCTAAGCCAATATGTCCGCGAGCATGGGATTAGTTTTCAAAGCAGCTGCTGCTTCGCTGCTTTCTTTGAATCGCTTCTGGCTTGGTGGATGTGAGGTGAGCGATTGCCGCGTAGCTGTGGCACCAGCCCTTTGTGTGGGACTCGGGCCCAAACGCGTCCCACGACTCTCCGCCAAGTCCGCCCGACGAGGTTGCGACCAAAGCAGAGCCCGAAGCTCCGCAGCGATGAGACCTCGCTTGGGCTCTACACGGAGGAGCGCCCACGTGCTTCAAGCGGGGTGTGGCACTCAGTTTGCAAACGGTCAAAGAGGCGTGTACGAGCAAACTTACCTTGTAAGGCCTCCTTCAAAGACGGCTTTGTTGAGCACGCGCAGATTACACAGCTCAGTGCGCGGGCAAATGGGGATTGTGAGGTTTTGCCAGTCAGCCCTATGTTTCCCTGGGACTTGCAGGTTGCAAGTTGTGGCAGGTGCGATGCTGAAAGCCGTGGACGCTGGGGACCGCATCATCAAGGCGCCTTCGGTCGCCATCCCCTCTCGTCTCCAAGCCAAGACCTGACCAACTTGTTTTCCGTTCAAACACAAATGCACCCAACTCAGATGCGAACAATACAGGGTTGAATGTTTATTGTTTTTCAACACAAGCCGCGGGCATCACCCAATATGTCTGAAGGCTTGCGGAGGTGGGGTCCCTATCCCAACTTCACTGCAGGGTCGATTGGAGCTCTTTGCCTGCTCACGCCGCAAGCTGACTGTGGCCAGGGCCTCGGCAAGAAGCCAGCGCACAAGTGCCGCTAATGAACGCGCCAATCTCCGAGCATAATTGATGTTAAACTTGTAGAGCCGTATAGCCGTACAGCATAGAGGTCTTGGAGGGCAGAACTTGGTGGCAAGAGAGAATTTTTCCAGGGCCAGCAGCACGAGCTCGAGCTTTGCTGCCCTGACAGCCTGGCTGATTCGCCGCTGGGGCCGCTGGCAAACGAGCCATCCCAGCCGAGCGCTCAGGAACTGAGGGGCCCACACACGTGCAATGGTGTCGCATGTAAGTCGCCAAGAGTCGACCTTTTTTTCCATCTCCGTTTGGTGCCAAGCCAAGGATCCTGCTGGCAAACTTGCGGTCGCTAATGTTTGCGACCCAGAGCAGCGGCAGCGCCGTTTTCTTTATTCGCTCTGTAAGCTGCTTTTTAATGCCTGCCGAGGTCTTTGTTATATGTCGACTACGACTGCACGCATCTTTACCCGCACGACTTTGAACGGTGCATCGACAAGCACGCTGTGGTTCCTTGCCTGCAGTTTCACGTGGCGAAATGAGTGGACCCTTGTCTGACTTAGATTTGAGGCCAAACTACATGCACGTGCGTGGCAAATGAACAGCAGCAGGAGGGAAAAAAGTTTGTTCGAGGTACCCTGGTTCAAAGGGAAACCACGAGGAAGACTACCATTTTGGAAGACTACCATTTCGGGGTTCACCCTATTTTGACACATAACTGAACAGGCAGCACTACAAACTCCACCCGTCGAACTTTGATCGATGCGCTTCTTGAGGTCACCTCCATCAACCATAGCCTTGTACAGATTGCGGGGGTCTCAGCGAACCTCCCGAGAGAAAGCCTTGTGGAGACGGGGGCTTAAACGAGCCATATGTTTTCTGCCCGAAAGAAACGCAGACAGCTAGGCACCATGATGGCCAGCGTCACTTCCAGTCGAGCAGACCTACGTCAGTTTTGCGGGTTTCCAATGCTATCTTAACAGCTAGTTGTCCAGGTCATGTTCTTTCACAGCAGGCACGGTTCCTTTGGGAATTTGTTCCGAGAGCCCTTGAATTTGCAAAAACGGGCAAACTACATCAGTAGTTGCAGTCTTTGGATTCTGCCCCTATTGCCAGCGTGCTTAGGTGGATCGCGTCCACAGTGGGTTTCTTGCCGAGTTCTGGCAGGTGCTGCGGAGAAGAGAGAGAGGGAGAGAGATTCTTGAGTGAAGGCATTGCAGGCTGTGTCAAACGTAGAAACACAGCACCTGCATTTGCAGGTGACTGGCAACATGAAGCTTGATCTTGGTTCAGGCTGTGCAAGATGCCATCGACATCATCGGCTGCGAAGTGTTCGCTTTCCGACCTGCGTATGGGACCAAGCTGAGCTCTTGCATTTGAATGCAAGCATCCTTGGCAAGGTCTGGCAGCTTCGAACCGACGGACCATGCTCTCATGCAGGGGCCACAAGCATCTGGCCGTGGGTCAAAGCCAAGGGGATCCCATTTTGGTTGGTAGGTGCACTACCCGTTTTTGTCTATTTTAGTGGGGAGTGGGATGTTCACTGGGGGTACGATTTGGATTTGGACCCATGGCCATTTGGAGTGGTGACTGCAGTGAAGGCATGAATTCGGAGAGCATGCTCGCCAGGTCCTTCCACTACTTCTTTGCAGATCTGCATAGAGGTCGAATCCTGTTCATAGGCATGGAAGGGTCATCCGGGTGCTGTCTGGTTTTGGAGATGTTTGAACCTATGTGGTCTGTGTTAAAATAGGGGGCACCCCAGAATAGTTGATTTTTTTGGGTCTCGCCACCCCAAAACAAGGCGACCCTCAAAAACGCACATGAAACTAGGTTGCCGGTGTGTGCGTGTCGCAGGTAGTGTCACCAAGAGCCGGCGGAGCGCCCGTGGAGGTCCCGACTCTGACAGTGACGTCCAACTTTCCCAGGAGAGCATGGAAGAATACGCGGCGTCTGTTTTTCAAGGTACCCTTTTTCAGGTGAATTGGAAAAGAAGGGAAAAGGGAAACCGGTTCCCCGGCAGTTTTCAGACTGCGAGTGGACTTGAGCCAGGACTCCGCATCTGCGGACGAGTCCAAGGGCCGCAGCAGCGACATGGGCTCCAGCCTGCAGGTGGAACACACGTCGCAGGGAAATGCAATGAGCCGCGGTCGTGGGTGTTAAATTTAGGAATCGGACCGTAGGTTTTAGTCCTTGTTTCCATTTTCCAGGGCAAGCCATTTTGGGTACATATGTTTGACCTGACAGCCAGTGCGCAGGAAGGTGAATTTGCATTCAGTGACGGCAGCGATGATATGATGCAGCCTTGAGAGCTTGGCAAGTGCAGGATGTGGCGGAACTTGAGAACTGCTTTTTGTTTCGCAGTTTTTTGGGAGACTTTTGACTGGGGGCAGTGATGGGGAAGCATCAGTTCGGGACCCGCATGTCTTTCAGCAAGCAAGACCCAATTCTGCCACTCGTGCATTCCATGAATTTGGTGGCTGTACTATATGCCCTGGGCACGGGAAGCGCAAAACCAAGAAACTAGACGATTCGCTAGAGTTAGTGTGCATCCTTATGATTAGAGTATAAGTGCCTAGCTATGGCAAGGCAGCGAGGGACCAATTCCTTATGCCAACGAGTGACTTGAGATGAATTGCTTCCTGGCCTTGGGTCGAATTTGGGGAGGTGTGCACCCGGTTTCACCCCCACGGGCCTGTGCCCTTCCTTTCAAGTCTCTGGCAATCCCATGGCTACGCCGCTGGAGCCCTCGAAGTTGATCCTTCCAGAGGCTTGTGACCCTGGCTTGATACCCACGCCGCTTCGGCCTGTTGCTCGCCCTGGGCTAGAAGCAGCTCGGATTGATTCCGTGGGGAGAGACGATCAAGTAGGCGAAGCATGGCAACTGAAACAGGTGTGGAGGGGATTGCTTTCAACGGAGCTCGTGTCTCAAAGTGGTTGTGTTCACATGCACTTGGTCAATCCTTTTGCCATGACATGCTTTTGGAGAACCAGGCGTTAGTTGAGCCATGGGGGTCGAGGCACTGCACCCTTTTAAATGCGGCTGGCCTTGATCAGGCTCTGTTCGAGAGAGCGATCAGGGATGTCACAAGGAATTTCCGTCCGATCAGATGCCTGACGAGATGCAGCCGATCCTTTCGCCTTGGGCTCGTTAGCTTGCGACATGGGGTTCTTTCGGCACCCAAAAGGAGCGGGACAAAAATGAGTGAGCTCAGGGATTTGGAGGCTGCGAACTGGCATGCCACATGCCAGACACGTCTTGAGTATGAGGCGGATATGCAAACGACCGTTCTCCTTTCATTGTTCTCTGGCTCACAGCTTAGCCTCACATGACAGTCACTGACAGCCATGAAAAGACGTTGAAGGAAACTGAAAAGTGGCTAATGTTTTTGCTGTAGGAATATGAACCCACCGATGTATCAGCCCTAAAAGACGACCAGCTGCCCCGAAGGTTAGGTCCAGGTCCATCCGAGCGGCTCGCGCGAAGGGCCATGGACGGCTTTCGCGCGAAGCGTAGCTTGGCTGTGGCCTGAGCGAGTCACTCGGGTGACGCCAACGAACCCGTTGATTGGGGCTGACGAGCAAAGCCGGGGCTAAAGGCGATCCCTTGTGCTTTTTGGGCATTTGCCCCGTGTTGGGGTCGTCAAGGACCTCATCTAGTGCCAAAAATATTGCAGGAATTGGGATTTCCTGAATCACGTGATTTGATGGAGTGATGAAGCGCCGACTGGGCAGTCTTTCGGATGCGATGAGTAAGGCACTGTGACTGCATGGCTGGCACTGTTCCCTGAGGTTTGGTGTCTGCTGTGCTTGCGGGTAGTTGGGCCTTCAGTCAGACCTTCTACGCCTTTTGATCAGATGCAGGGAGAATGTTCGACAGGGTTCTGGCTTCATTCGAAGCGAGCGCGCCAATGCACATCGAGGCGGCGCACCCTTGCGAGCAGGAGGTACAGAGCGCATGCCCAGACCGGCCTGGGTCGGAGCTGGCGAGGCGGGAGGATGCTGCGGCTGAGGTTTTGAGTGACACCCTAGGAAATGGTTGGTTGATGTAGATCTCTCCAAATGTTCACCAAAAGTCTCTAGTTGAAACTCATTCAGCTCATACTCCTTGGTGCGGTGGGTGTGTCGGCTTTTGGCAGCATGGCCGCTTGTATGCAGAGAGATCAAGTTCAACAGCAGTGCACTGAACAAGTGCAGCTCCAATTCAAGCAGTAATGCAGGTTCCAACGTAGTCCCTGATGAGGTAAGGCCCAGCTTTTTACTTTCACAGTCGCCTCTTGCCGGCCCAAGAACCTCCGCAGGTACCGCTAGGACGATAACGATTCTAAGTCCTGAGCTACCCAAGCTTGTCTAAGGGAGCGAACAGCACGAATAAGTTATCGGGCTATGTCAAATGCAGATTTGCTTCTGGAGAACTCCAGAGAATGCACCTGAAATGTGTAGCAAGACGATGATTCTTTGGCCATGATTTGCGGGCCGACAACAACAGTGCTTCGCGGACATGACTGTAAGCACACACCCACCAATGCATGCTTTCCGGGATGAACATGCTTTGAAGGACTTTGGCCAAATAGCAAGGGACTGACGTGGAGCTCTGTTGAGCCTAGCCACGAGGACTGGGCTTGCTTCTCCTTTTTGGCTTGCATGCCAGGTGTCTCAAAGACAAGTCGGAGCATGAGAGCCTCAGCCCCAAGTCGTTCCAGTGCACCAATGCACATTATGCATAGATGTACACACGTGTTCTTGTATGCTATTGCCTGTATCCAACGTCGGATTGTCAGGGCCCACAGACATTACATCGGCTTGTGCCGATTTCATCGCGCTCAATGTGGCTTGTGCCGATGACATCGTCAAGTCTTGTGATGAGGCCAGTCAAAACATGTGGAAACATCATTTAAGTCATACATCATGTCCAGTCAAAATGGGGGCCCTGTAGGCCTTCTTCTCAGACGACACTTCTTTGTGCCTCTCCACGTGGACGCAGCCAGAGGACCTCTCGCCGAAGTGTGCGGGGGTTTGTCCGGCGAGCTTTGCGTCTTTTCGTTCGGTTCGCAGTTCGGGAGACGGACGAGATGTCGGACCATGGCAGGTGCTGGAATGGGCCTTGCCAAAGCATGAGGCGAGCGCCCATGGTGGTGGCAAGTCAGCGGAGAGCTGCGCGCCTAGGCCGTTGAGGAGGGACCAACGGATGAGCTGGGCATGTCCGAGAAGGACTACGCTGACAAGCGCGAGTGGCAGGCTTTGGCGGCTTCGCCGCTGCCAAGAGACCTGGTGCTTTTGCTAGGCGAAGCGGCGTGCTGGCCGCAGTGCTGCGGTTGAAAAGCTCAGGCAGGGACGTGTGTACGTTTGGCTCCATGTGTCGCATGACAGGAACTGTTTTTTGGTCTGAAAAAAGGTAAGCTCCCCAAGAATGGCGGTTTCTCTTTGGTTTCCCTTGGAACAACCTGACAGAATGTATGATGACAAATGAGAAGCCCAAGGGTCCAAGCCCGAGCAGCTTTGGGGGCTAGATGTGGTTGTGCATTGGGGTGGAGCGCAGCCCTTTGAAGGGTCAGCAAGCGAGTACCTGCGATTGAGCTGAGAGCTGTATTTGCTTCGCCAGGTTAGGCCATTTGTCTCCATTGCGCCTGTGCCGCCATGATGCGTCTGATGGTACTCCTTGTTGTGGGCGCTTGGGCCGACAAGGTCGAGCAAGCCGACAAGACGCAGGCAGAGGCAGTCGAGGCAGCCAAGCAGGGTGAACAGAGTGGCCCTGGCGAGAACAGCTCCTGGAATTTTGTCTATTGCAACTGCGGCCTCTCCTGTGTGAAGCAAGTGGACAACTGGTACATCTTCACCGTCGGCCAAGCCTGTGCCTGCAATGCCTGCCCCGAAACCAACGCAACAGAGGCAAAGCTGCGAGGCACAAAAGTGGTCCCATCCTCTCCCTCCTCACCGCCCGTTCCGTCCGTTCAGTCCAAGATGGCTCCGGAAGCTGTGCCTACGGAGAGCGCACCGACCGGGAGCAAAGCGAAGACATGGGATGGCGCCAGCATGCCCGGCAGCAACCTCCTGTACTGCAGCTCGGTATTGGAGGATTCGGCCTAAGCTGGACTTTGACTTTGCTTCGAGTTTTTTTTCTCCCCGGGCTGTGGCTTAGTTGGGTCTTTTTGGGCAGGCTTCTTTGGTTTTGCTTGGCTTCCACGAGCTAGGTCAGTGCGGCAAGCAGTGCGAGGATGGACGGATGCTTGGACTTTACACCTACTACTGCTTCCGCTATGGTTGCAAAGCTTGCTGATTTGCAGGTGATCTCAGTTGAAGTACAGAAGAAGCGTAGCTTCTAACCACTCTTGGACAGGACCTGTACAGACAACATTCGGTAACAAGTCTAAAACATGTTTGCGCAGCAAGAGCCAAGTGTACCCCTGTCAGCTGGGCGAGCATCAAGACTGCCTGGCTTTTGGCACAGGATGGTCGCTTTGAAAGACCCCTGTGCGCAGCATGATCAGTGCATGGCCTTTTGGCCATGGCATGGCTTGCTACACCAGAAGTCGCACCTTAAGTGTGCATGAAGACCCTGTGTAAAGATGGAGGCTGCGCAACAGCTTGCATCTTGCGTTTCATGCAAATGCAGTTGGCGCAAAAGAGTGTCCGAGCACGACCAGCTTTGGAGGAGAGCTGCAGAGAGGCATTAGACGTGGGGTGGGAGTGGAGTTGGAGTGGAGCCCTTTGAAAACACTTGAAGGATGAGGCCCTGCTTAGCATTTGCTCCAACATCCGCCACGTGCAACGCAGCACGCCTTCCTCATGTTATGCACCTTGTTGAGGCAAGACCGAGATCAGGAGCGAGAGTTGGAGACGCTCAAGAATGAGGAGACTCGCTGAGTCACTTTGCTTTCAGTCGCTTTGTCACCGCTTTTCGCTTTTCGCCAGCGCTTGGATTGATGCGGGAGTCGCGCGGCGCTGTAAGGATCCCGTCGCGTACCAGCAGCTCATGAAGGAGCGCCGGTTTGAAAGGCGGATGTTCGGCGTTGGGTCCCGGGGAGTTTGATTCGCGCATCGGCAGCGCTTGCACGTTCTGTGCCAACCATGTGTTCTTATTGCTGTAAATGACAGGACTCTCCAAGCAACACCTCAGGGATATCACATTGTCACCTTCATATTTGAGTGTTTGTCAACACTTCAGCGTCACAAGGGTGCCGATCAGGCAATTTGCGTGGGTGAGCGCCTGTGACAACAGCCGCACGTCAAAAGCTCGAATGGATTTTGGATATGCGACAAACTTCTGAGAAGGTCTGGGAGAATCTCGCAGGGAACACGTTGATGGACGAGCAGTTGAGAGTGACAAGAGCAGATCAGGGTGAACAAACATAAGGTGTGGGAACTTGAGCAAACCACCAAGCCCCAGCACTGGTCCTTTTTTTGTTTGACTGACCGAGCCAAGGAGAATTACGGCCATGGGGCATAAGCTATGGCTCCATTTCGGGTTGGATGCACATGCATTTGCCACCTATTTTGATGTTCACCAGGGGTACCAGGGGTACTTGACAACTCTGCGAATCGGCGGCGAGAAAGCAAGAACACGAGGAGCGCGAGGAGGCGGAGCGCAGCTTCCAGGAGCCGACAAATTCCAATCAGCGCCGGAGCCGTTTTTTTCTTCCTTTTTTTTCCCTCCTTTTTTTGTATTCTTCTCCGTTTCAACAACTAAGGGCTTGGTATGGCCGACTTGTTCACTAATTTTCCTCGTTTTTGCCATGATATGGTTTTGATATTGTTTTCTTGTGCTTTTGTTTGAGGTTGTTGTAACAACCAAAAGGGCAGCGTGTTTATTGTTTTCCACCATTAGGAGCCACGCCCATTGAAGCAACCGCAATATTAGCAATCTTCGAGTTGGGGGGACCATGAATATCAACTGCGGCTCATTTGACTTGCTTTGGAGAGGGCTCCTTACGCTTCCGCTTTTCGGCCACCCGAAGCATCACTTTTGTGGGCCATTTGAAGCCAGCTTCATGTTGGCGGGGTGATGTGAAATGAAAGCCGCCAGCTAAGGATTTGCGCAGATTCAAAGTTGAGATGCTTGATCGGAGGCATTTGGAAACGTGGCAGTCGTTTGCTTCGACTCAGCTGCCTGAGGAGCTGAAGAAGCGCCGCCGGCTGATCGCTGCCGCGGAGGCCTCGCTCGGGTTGCTCGGGTCGTCCTCGGGTTGGCGGCTGCGCGCTTGGCTTTGGCCAGGAGCGAAAGCGCAGGAGAGAGCTAGGGCTGCCGGAGCTTGACGAGGCCACAATTTTAGAAACAGCTGAGTGAGCTGAGAAGGCGAGACTTGACAGGCGGAATTGCAGGCCGAAGCAGAGAAGAGGAAGAGGCTCGCGTCTCCAATCCGAGCGCATTTGGCTGGTTGTCAGGCTTGGCTTTCGTCCCAGAACAGAGGTCATCCAACTTCAGCGGGTCGTCCATGGCCAGGTACTTTGGAAACTCACTGCTCAACTTTCAATTCGCCACGATCGCCTTGGTCTTTGAGATGTGTGTCACGCTGTCACTATCCTTGGATGCGCGGGCCGTTCTGTTCCTGGCCAGTGTGCGATGTGTCCTTGCAACTTCAAGAATGTCCCTTCTTTTGCCTCGATCTTTGTTTGGCAACCTTTACAAGCTGCCCAGGACTCGGCGTTTTCACATTGGACATTTGTTGTGTGTATCATTGCCTTTGCCACTTGCCTCGAGTTTGTGTCGCCTTCATGCACGGAGCCGTTTCTTTGGCAAGTTTGTTTTGGTCGACGGCTGGGTAGTGTTATTTGTCCTCTTCGTTTGTGTAGTGTGCTGGAAGTGCCACCTGGGTATCATAGCTCCGCGGCTTTGGGAGTGGCATGGCACGAACAGCTTCATTTGTGATGCGTCTCATGCGCTGATTCTTCCGGCAGGATAGAGGAAAGGGTAGAGATGATCCGAGAAGCAAAAAAGAAAGAGAAAGGTCCGGTATTGGATGAGAGCGTTTGCTTGTCATTCTCATTGACACACAGCCTGCCAGTCAATTGGCTGCCTTATGTGCTTGGTGGACTCTTTGCGCAGCTCTCAGATTTCAACGTGCGCACTTTGTGTGACATGCCGTCAGAATTGCCAAGGTGGCCTACCTTTTCTTCAACATCCTCAACATGATGGGTGGGAAGCCTGGCGCGGTGGTGCGGCGCGCCGTTTTTTTTCTTCTTCTTCTTTTTTGTCTTCGGCGCATGAATGTTGCGCTGTCACTTTGACCTGGGGGGAAAGTGCCGGACAATTCTGTGTTTGAATATTGTTGTTCATCTGAAGTTTCGCGGCATGTGCAAGGATCGATTTTTGCACGATGGACTGAGGTGGCAAAAAGAAGGAAGACGAGGACAAAGATGACTGAGCCCAGGTATTCCCTCTGCATTTGAAGCAGTGGGTTTTGCTGCTGGCTTGCGTTGGTAGCTCTGGCCCGTTCTTGTTTATTGGCGTTGAGCTGCATGTTCTCGAAAGCAAGCAGATTCTTGTCATCTGGCTGTTGCTCAAAAAAGTGGTACCAAAATGGCACCTTGGTAAATGGCACCAAAGACTAAAACCCGCGCAACCCCAGGTCTTGAATTTTGAGCCATACCCATCTATTTGTTCCATGCACTCAGCGCCATTTTTCACGCATCCATCATTAGCCAGCTGCGCGAGCCGCTGCGAAGATGTCGTTGGAAAATCTGCGCCTCTCAAGGCTTAGGGCCTTCCACAACGTTCGAAATCGGACAGCTCGGTCCCCGACACTTTCCTTTGGCAAGCTGCTTTGATGGTAGAGTCCCGCCTGACTTGGCATTCGCGAAGTCTTCAAGTCTCTGTGCATAGGGGCGAAATCGGCTTTCATTCGAGTTGACCGAAATTATTGTGGAAGAAATGTGCTCCCATATTCTGTGTGCTGCCAGTGTCGAGGCCTTTTCTCGTTTGCATTCTCTGTTGTCTTTGCACGGCTGGCTTTGTCGAGTGAGAAAGCATGGTCGGCCGCCAACACTAGGGACATCCAGCTCAGGCAGTGTTTTGTTGGACCAGTGGCGAATACCCTGCTGGCCAAGTAAGGTGGTTGACTCTCTGCTTTTGGCCGGTATAGTCAGGGGGATGGGTTTGGAGAGCTGCTGAGTCATGCTTGGCAGCTGCTGCAACACCGGGCTTTGCATACGTGAACTGAGACGTCGTGAGCCGTTTTTGATTTTAGCACAAAAACATGGACTAGTATTCAGGAAGGGCAAGCCGAGCACAGCACATTCAGCCAAGCTCTCTCATTCTAGGCTTTGAACATGTTTAATTGGTGAATGCACCAATGTGTGATGAAGTTTGACTCTTATTTTGTGTTACAGAGACTTATTCTTCAGGAAGAATGCATTCCATTTCACTTGTGGCGGTGCTTCAGATATTGAATCTAGCTTGCAAGTACTGTGTTCAAAATGCATGTCGCAGCATCAGGACAAGAGTCATGAGTTTTACCTAGCTTCGTAGGGTCCTCCTTGCCCGTGATGCACAGCGATCATGACCGGGGAGACCAACGGTAGCCCGAAGGGTGCTTTGGCTTCGCTTTGCGTGCAGTTTGATGCCTTCTCACGCGGGTGCCCGCTCGGTCACGTTTTTTAGTGGAGATGTGTGAGCACCTATGTGTGCTAGGTGTGCTGCACTACACACACACACACACTCTTGCACACAATAGCACATGCACATGGGCGGACTTGTTTGACGATAGTTTGCAGGGCATGATGTCGACTTGCATACTGTAGAGTTTTTTGGTCAACATGTGAATCTCAGATTGGCACAAGTTGGTAGGACATTTGTGGATGTAAAGCGGAAAAGTGGGAGGGCTAAAGGAGCCGCATTTGCTTATATAACGTGCATGGGACATGGCCTGGCGTGCAGCATTTGATACGTTTGCAGAAGCTCTCCTGCCTGTGGCAACATGACGATGCTTTGCCTGCTTTGTTTATCGAACTGCTGCCTTAAGAAATGCACAAGCAACGATAAAAACACGGCACCGCACGCAGATTGTGGGAGCCTCAGCTTTGCTTGCTTGAGCCTGATGACCTGAGGTGATGCAGATGAGCCCCCAGCGAAGGCCCCAAACTTGAGGGTTCCAGTGCAACATTCTATTTGCAGCTTCCGTGCAGGTGGCACGGACCGACTCCTCCGATGCAGCCAAGGTGCGTCAGAAGTGTCAGAAATGTCAGCTTCTAGGGATGTGATGCTTGCGCATACACACAACGTACACATATAGGTAATATATATATATATATACATATATATATATAATTATATATATATATGATATACATATATATATATATATGCATACTATACTATATATGTACACATATATAGTATCATACATACATAGTATGACAATATAAATATATATCTATATATATATATTTGTATATACATATATATGCACATACAACACTCCGTCCAAATATCGGCTGTCTACTGATGTTGATGCACATGGGCCAGTTTGTGAGTCCCAAAGCCAAGAATCCCAACAGGAGGATGTGCTTTTTCCTTGGCAACGAATTTAGAAAAGGCTTTTTCGCTTTGCACAGCAGGAAGGCGCAAGTGAAGTGGAGAAGCTTCTCGAGGCATGGGCAAGCGGTGCCGGCTGTTGGCTGGTTCAGTTTGGCTTTGCCTCTAAGAGCACCTTGGAAAGGACACCCTGAGTCACTGAGGTGTCCCTCCAACCCACAAAAACGATACCCGCAAAAAGGACATCTTTGCTTGTTTGTGATTTTTTCCGTGGAATATATTCCTTTTGGTCTCACCTCGGCATGATTGAGTTGCAAGTTGGCATGTGCAGGCCAAGAAGAAAGCTTTGATGGAGGCACAGCTTTGACAGTGAAACCGTCAGGCTATCAGAGTGCAGAGAGGGCTTCCGCTTTCCGTCTATTTTTGATGTCCTCAACCAATGTTCTGACTTGAGTGACTATTGCGCAAAGAAATTGCATAGGGACCAATGGCGAACGCCCCGGAGTTGCAACTGTGTCTCAGGCCAAGCGAGCTGCCTTGGCTCTGACGGCGGGCGGGCAGAGTTGAGAGCGACGTCTTTCCAAGTGGCCGCCTGGGTTCGAAGAAGTCAGAGCCGGTCCGTCCCACGCAGATGGCAAAGTTCTGCCGGCAGGGAAAGGCAACATGTCATGTTTGTACTCCTCAATGCAACATGTCTGCTCAAGGCGCAATATTAATATATATATATATGTATACACACATGTGCCACAATAGGAGACCCCCGGTTTTCCTTTAGATTCACGTCTGCCCAGCAAATCCCCCCTGAAGCACGCAGCAATCTCATGCCCAGGAGTTGAATTCACATGTGCCATGGCATCGGATGTTGCAGTTCTGCCAGACAGCCTCAAGAACTGTCCGCAGGACTCCGTCGGCCCCCGGAAAAAAAACAAGGCGGGGGATCAGTCGCACGATTTTTCAGGACATCGAGAAACTCTTCCATCGGATCCACCAGCTGGAAGCTCGGCAGGCGGGTTGTGCATGTGCCCGCTGAGAAAAGCAGATGGAGCTTCCCGCGCCAAACTCTCCAGTAGAAAAGCGCCGGACCTTCTGACCTCTACAGGTGACCCAACGGAAGGACGTAGAGGCTGGTCTTGGCTGGGGGAAGCACCGGAAGCAAACGAAGGGAAACTTGTACTTGCACTGCCTTCCTGAAGGCAAAGCAGAAGGGTACGTCGCAGCACTACGACGAGGAACTTGCCACCCTGCAAGCGCGCACAGCGACGTTTCAGGACGGATGCTGCTAGGCGGTGTTGGTGAGCGAGTATGCTTGCTGACAGTATGTGGGTATGGGTCAAAACAGAACCACCAGGGGACCGCAGGTTTTGGTCTTTGGTTTCATTTACCAGGGTTCCATTTTCGGTACGCATTTTTGACCCACAGCCAATGTGACTCGTGCCACTCCTTTCAACCTCTGCGAGTTGCAGGATGAGGTGCAGAATGCATTGGCGGAGCTGACAAAGAACTCAGCGCAGATGCAGAAGCAGCTGGAGGACGCCAGCGCACGGTGCCAGGAGATGGAGGAAGCCGGCGGCAGGCAGCGCGAGCGCCTCTGCAGTATAGAGGCGCAGCTTCGGAGTGACCCTCGCCGGGAGGGGGGGGCCACAAGGCACTGGGCCCAAACAACAAGAGGAAAGCCATGGCTGCCTTTTTCGCACAAATGCCTTGTTCCGAAGGGGACCAGACACCGCAACGGCAACAATAACACCAAGTGATACGAAAGGTTTCTTGAACACTCACCGCCTGGCAATGTGCATAAATTCCAACAAGTTGCTGCCACCATCTGTTCGCCGTTTACTGGTGTATTGTTTTGGGCCTGAACCTGTTTGAATCAGTTATGTAAAGCGATTCAAAACGTCAATGAGCACAGAAGCAAGAATCGCAAATGGTTGCAGCTCATAGTTCATAGCCTCTTCTTCTCAGCTGCCTTTTTCGTGGCAGAAGCGCCTCCCCGACTGCAAGCACATCGAGGAGCTGGCGCGAGGCCGGAGTTCAGAGCGATGAAAAATGTCCGAAGAAGAGTTCCATAGGTGTGGATATCCGCTCTTTTCTGTTTAGACTGGGTAAAATGCTGGGTCTTGCTTTTGCACTTCCATGAGCTGGAGGCAAATCAGAGGAAAACTAGAGGTAGGTGGCACTCCCTTTGCACCTGTCCCAGTTGTCACCACGCGCATCGAAGAGTCTTCTTCGAGCGTGAGAGCCCAGAAGGAGCCGTGCCCACTTGGCGAACGCTCATTTGCGACAGAAGGCGTTATATATATATATACATTTAAGGGGACCCCCAAAATGGTGGTGTGTCCCTTTTGCCAGCGACAGCGTTATGTCGTCCTCTCTGCTTGGAGTCATACCGCAGCACAGGAGCTAGTGCAGGAGCACGCTTGCGAATTGGCGAGCGTGCAAGCGAGCCTTGGATGGAACAAGGTTTCGACTTTGTTCGCTGCTCCAGAAATTTCCCGGGCACACGCACGGAGCATGGCGCTTTTGAGCGGAGTTTTTGAGCAGCACAGGCAAATGGGCGCACACAATGACCAGCTGGACAGCATATCCAAGGCGAATAGAGCACTCTGCAAGATATTATTTAGTTTGATTTCTTGCACGTACCCCCGTGAAGGTGCTTGATGGTAAAGAGTTGCCTGTCCAGCATGAGCAGGTGTTGTCCCATCACGGCATTCTGGCCGAGATGCGCTCTTTGTCAAGAAGGCTCGCCTTCGCGTTGCCGTGGATTCGATGGTACGCTCTGAAAATGCTTGGTGGGCCCAAGTCCTGACGTCGCGAGTTCGAAAACACCCAGATTGTCATTTGGATAGCTGAAATGCCATGGCCGTGGGAAAACCCCGTAAGATGAGCCTGTAAGGGGGTCAGACGTTTCGATTGAATATGTTTCATTGTACTGGATCGAATACATTTCAGCGATCAAGCAAACGCCTTGTATATGGCCATGGGGCAAAACCCACTTGCCACCTATTTTGATGTTCACCAGTACAGGGTTTTGACCCACAGCCATATCATCTCAATACAAATTTTGGCGGGCGCCCGATTTGGATCCACTTCCTTGAGCCTCCGAAGTGCAGGCAGGACAGGCTCGAGGAGGCCCACGAGTCAGCAGACAGCATGGCGCAGATGGCGCGGATGCAAGGCTGGGGCTTTCCCAGTGCTCCGGGGTTGATCAATTATTCCTGGCCCCGCAATGACCAAAGGCAACTTTTCACATTTTTTGGTGATTTTCCTAATGGTCACCCCATGCAAAGGACCTTTGGATCAACGCCCGTCTGCGGGTAGCTGTTGGCCTGTAGTTTGTGACTCGCTCACGCTGATGCTAGGTGAACTTGCCACTGTCGCGGCAGGCTTGGAGCTCAGTCTGGGGGGCTCTCAGACGCGACCTGTGCTTTTGTTGGTGTGTTTTGTCTTTTTTGTTGAAGTGCAACTTAGCAGCGTGGGGTATATATTGCCTTCACTTCGCAACGATGGATGAGTCAAACTGCTGCGTTGGCTTCTCAGCGCCTGGAAATCTTGCCCCAGGTTTGCGAAGCGTGGAGTCTCAAACGGCAACCTTGAAGGAGCTCGACAAGACTTGCCAGTTGCTGCAAGGGCGGGGCTCCTGAGTCATTTGGCTGCGGGTCAAAACCCCATACCCCTGGTGACTATCAGAATAGGTGGCAAATGGATGCTCATGCATGCCAAGAGTGGATCGCCATAGGTTATGCAACCCATGGCCATTCGGCGGAATTCAGCAGGGGCTTTCGGGGTTTCTCTCCAAGGCGGCTGGAGTCGGCGGAGGAGGCCTACGCCAATCTTCTCAGCCTGACGGAGCAATTGCAAGAGGAGCCTCTGCAGCAAGAGCCGAGCCGGCGTGGTGGTGGGTGCGGGGGGAAGGGGGCGTGGTGGGGGGGGAAGGGGGTGGGGGAGGGTGGGGGGGGGGCGGGTGGCGATTTTTCAGCGCAACTCAGGACATTGGGAAGGAAGACTCCTTGGAGGTTCTTCCAGGGCAGGATGGAGGACGGACGCTGCTTCCTCATGCCATGATTCAGAGAGTCGTGTGGGGTCAAGGAGGCATGTTGACAAGAAATTGAGCTCGGGATGCAGAGTATGCTTCATACAGGACCCGCTGCCAAGCACGCGCTATCGCCAGTCTCGCATGCTTCGGTCGCTTCACCGACTGCGGTCTCTCCGTTCTCACCAACTCGGAGCTTGTCCAAGGCAGAGAGTCGCAGTTTGCGCAAGATTCTAGTGTTTTTGAGACCTCTCCTTGTCGGTTTGCACAGCAGGTGAGGTCAGAGCGGGAAACGCACGAGCAGCTGCGGGACATGGCACAATGGCGCAGCCAAGTGAAGGAGGAGATGAACAGATGCTCAGATGCGCTGCGAAGTGAATTTGTAGTCTGGCAAGGGTGGAAAGGCGAAGTGGACACCTCCTGAAACATTAGAGTGAAACCGTTTCAGGGAGCATCATGAAAGCAATCATGGAAACACTACCTCAAGCCCATGAGTATCAAAACGGGGGTTGGTAGTTTGATTCTGTGTCGAGTATGGCTTTGATCCCTCCTAAGCCATATTGAACCGGAAGCCAAGATCTGAACCCTAGTAAACACCCTTGAACCTTAAAGCTTGCTGATCGTAAGCCTTAGCCTAAACCCTAAAAGGCGAAATCCCGGGTCTAAGCCGCACTGGACCTGACAAGTAAGTTGTGGACTCTGAGCAGAGTCGACACGTGACCCCGGAGGTACATTTGATTGACAGGGAGAGGAGAAACCCACCCTATCAAAAGGCTAGGAACACATGAGTAGATGGTAGCTGTGAAGGATCTCATATAGTCTTTTGCAGAGAAGGTAGAGGCACCGTGCATCGCATGTCTGACGGTATCATCCCGAGGACTGCATCGCCTCGGTCGCATTATGGAGGACGGTTTCTTGCGTGCAATGAGATGCCGTGTAGATCTTCGGGTCTGTCGCAAAGGGTCTGCAGGCCAAGGATCTCCTGTTGGGATCTCCGATTTCGTCTTTCGCGACCTGGGGCCGTGCGGTCAGATCAATGCGGCCTTATCCCAGGACCGGCTGGAGGCCTTCGACGTGCTGGAGCGCCGCACCGAGGACATGGCCGAACAGCTGCAGGCGTGGCCGGGGCTCCAAAGTCTTTTTTTTCCTTTTTCCCGCTTCTTTGCGGCGGAGAAGAATCCAGTGGTCAAAGGGACGCGCCATCCATGGCAGCTTTTTTATCGCTTCTTTGCGGCAGAATAGAATGAAAAGGACGAGCAATCCATAGCAATCCATGCGCTCCAAGTACCAACTTCCATTCGGGCGAGCTTTGAGAGGCGCTGGCCCCGCGTGACTGCCACGGCGCCAGGAGGGGTAGCGGACGCGGGTTCGGAAGCGTGAATTGATGGAGTCGGCAGGAGCCGCAGTCCATCCCCGGGCAGAGCCATGAGGCGACCTGGCCATTCTTGCCGAGTGTGCCATGTGGTTGCCTGAGGCCCGGGGAAGCGCATGCGGACATAAAGCTGGAGGGCAAGCGTTCCATCCCACAAGTCCTGGCCTGAGAAGTCGAGCGGGAGATTTGGACCTCCGGAACGGACCGAGCTTCAGGCCGAGGGGCCCGCGCACATCTCCAGCCCGAACTTCGAAGGTGAGATTGTTGCGGGTACCCCGCGTTTTGAGCTGAACGGGACGCCGAAAGGAAACTACTCTTGCTGGTGCGATAGGGAATGACCCGGGGTGTTGGGAATGAGCCTAAGGATGCCCTCAAAGGAAACCATCAGTTGGATGGTGTATAGGGGTCATTCCATTTCTCAATCCCTGCCTATTGGACCAGCAAGTCATGTTAGGGTTCCACTATTTGGCCCCAGATGGCGCGCACACGGATTGGACGCTTGCGTCGTGCCAGGCACCGGCTGGGTGAAAGCCCTGCCTCGCCGGCCATACTCGGCGGGCGCAGTGCGAGGCGTGGCAAGCCACCCGTCGGAGTTTGGCTTTCAGTGTTAAGATGTGGGGGTTGATTTCAATATTCCTAAAAGCCAAATTTGACTATGGGTGACTTTTCCCATTTACTGGGACATATCATGGTTGTGGTGGTGTCATCCCATGTAAAGGGACCTTTAGCTCAATCCCCATGTTTTACACTGAGCCTGGCATGTCGCGCCATTGAAGGATTTCGACGCTTCCTTTCTTGCCCGTTCGGGTCACAGGCGACACGCCTTCGCAGCTGCAACAGCTCCGGGAGAAGATGCTGCAAGCGGTGCCTGGGCTGCCGCCGGAGCTGCAAAAGCAGCTGCAGGCGAGGAAAGAACCCTTGAACCTTGGCATTGGGCATGTCCTCATTTCCTTTCATGATGGCATCCTGCGTGTCCAAATTGGCTTGAATAAGTTCACCACAAACGAATGGGCATATTTGGCACACCTTCGACGAGAGAAAGTTGCTTGTCAGGCAGCAGTGGCACCTAGCGGCCCCAGTCCCAGTGGTGTCTTCCCAACTCGCCCACCCTATGCTGGCGCTGCCATCGCACTTTGCCGCCCTGGCTCTGCTCGACGTCAAGGCACATGTTCAGGATCAGGTGGTGTCCGAGCGGGCTGGATTGCATACAGCGCATCCACCATGTTTTCTCAAGCTGCCGTAGAAGTAGTGACTGACCATTTGCCGACCTGTACCTTTGCGCTGCTTGACACGTTGTCCTGACAGTATCAAGCGTTCTGCTTCATGGAAGGCCCCGGCCGCCGACCAATGAGCGCGAGGTGATATCACTTTCATTTTGAGTGCGACAATCCCACCGTTTCAGGGCCGATCGTGGCCCCAGGTCAAGTAGCAGCCCGAAATGCAGGCTGCAACGCTTGACCGGACCTAGTTTTGTTAGCAGCCTCTTTGTGCATAGTGTCGGAAGATTCGCATCGTCACCTAAGACGACGCGATGCTAGGTTCTTGAGGCTTCATGAGTCGCAGCCTGTACAAGATTTGCGCGGCTCCATTGGCAACAGTAGTGTTTGTGATCACAGGGTGATTCAAGCGAGTAGGAACTGGGACAACTCTGCCGCAGGCAAGCGAGTCCCCTTCAAGTGCAGAGGCGAGACAGTCTCATTTGAGACACAATCCAAACCCGTTCAATTTACATGGTGCTGGGAGACCTTTTTTGTACCAGGTGTTGAGTATGACGCTGAGGTGGGCTTTTGTGCGCTCGCATTGTGACCCTTGCAGGCGGGCGAGCCAGAGGCGGAGGTGTCAGCAGACGCGTCCGCGTCAGCAGAGGCAGGTCCGGGAAGCCGGATGTCACATTCAATTGCTCATGTGGGTATGGGGCATCCATTTTGGGGTGGATGAATATCCATTTGCCACCTATGTTGACGTTCACCGGGGGTACCATTGGTTTTGACAACCACAGCCATATCCAATACTTTCGTTTGTTGCACGGTCACTGCCCAAAAAAAGCAATTCGATGCCCGCGCCAGGAGTCTGAATCCATTGCCGATACGAGCATTGCATCGCTCCTAGCCGACAGCTTCGGCGGCTAGCACTGCCAACCTTTGCGTGTTTTCGAGTCCATGCAGCACTTCCCAGGTGGATTTCCTTAACAAGCAAAGAGAAGAAGGCCGCGGAAAGGCCTGGCCCATGTGCATCTAGCTTGTGCTGGACTCACTCAGCCAGGCCTTGAGTGAGGCTGCGCCAAGGCAAAGGAGGGTGACCGCAATGCACTTTTTCAGTCGGTGATGCTTTGGTCCCTGCGGCATGTCAGAAGTCTGTCTTTGCTCCGCCTCCCATTCTAGAAGCGCTTTAAAGCTCTCGGTGCGCTGTAAGCCAGTCTTGTCAAAGCCCGCTTCAACGCTCCCGACAAAGGTGGCCTCAGATCTGTGGGGCAACAAGTCTGATTTGTCCATTCGGCAGAGGGTCTGTTCAAGCCAGGGATCCCTCCTTTAGCACGATTCCTACGGAGAAAAACCAATGCGTCCTGCGCTTGAGCCGCACTCCGAATCAGGCCAGGCGTCGTGGCCTCGGCGCCGCCAGTCTATGCTCAGCGGGCTGGGTACTCAGGTTCACCTGGGGGGGTCAGAAGGCTGTGAGTGCACATGTTGTGAACAAAAAACCGGCATTCTGATCAGATGCAACAACGTCACTGTTTGCTCAAGGAGCCCAAGATTGGTCTGGCAGCCGCAGGACCCAGACATGTTTGCAGTTGTCATCAGTGAGCTGTGTCAACAACCTGTTTGGAGCGGTCTCTGGTTTTAACACGCAGCCACTCTGCTTGGGTTGGTCCCTTGAGCTAGTGCCCCAAATCCTTGGAGCTGGGGAGCCGCAGTCGGGCCCATGCCAAATCGAATCTCGGCGCGCAGGCGATGCCGGAGCCATCGTGGCCTTGGCAGGGCCAGGCACGGTGGCACTCGCCAGTGGCTGCACAAGACGAGCCTGAGCCAAGCGAGTGGCGAGTGAGCGGATCTGCTTTGAGCGCCAGGCCCGCGGCCTCCGCCCATCCCCGGCCTGCCCAATGCTCGGCCCGCCTTCAAGGCGGGCGGCATCTCCCGGTGCCTGGGCCGCTTGGGGCACCGGGGCCGGGGGCACCGGGGGCGTCGGGGGCGTCGGGCGCCGTGCGTCGCGCAGGCCTCTGCGCTCTGGGCCTGGGGCGGCAGCGCGGGCGGCGTGGCCTTCCAGCCGCCCCGGCCAAAGCTCAACGTGTCGCAGGCGCGTGCGCCTTTAAGGCGGAAGCCAAACGATCCATGCCGAACTCGTCTCCTGCAACGCTTGGTGTTTGTCGGTTTCTCTGGAAGCGAAAGGGCTCGCCCCAGCGGCTGGTGTGGCAGGGGCCATGGCCCTGCAAGAACAGTGGGTCGCTTTGGCCTTGGAGAGTCTGGGATTGCTGAGGCATCAGCTCAAGTGTGTGTTTGGGCAGTGTTCCAAAGAGCTGATCGTGATGAGAAGAGCAGCTTTGATACAGAAAGAACCGCAAGAGCACAGCAGCTATCCGGAGTCAGCCGCGGGGTCGCAGTCTGTATCGCTATAACATCCCACGCAAGCGACCGCAATCCCTCCCGTGACATGCAGCTTCGGGAAGAGCGGTGCCCGCAGCCTTCAGTCATAGCTGGAAACAGAGTCGCTCCGCTTCCTTTGCCAACAGCCCCGGTGCTTGCGGTCCCTTGTTTCTCACATATTGTTTCGCTCGGTTCTGTTTTGGTGTGTTTGCTTGATAGGCGCAGGGTGGCGCCGCTGCCGCCACGCTGCTGGTGCGGTGGTTGCCTTGGAGGGCTTGGTGATTTGTTTTACCTAAAGCCACGAAGATGCTTTCTCCAAAGCAAACAATGTTCGGTGATTCGTTTTTTTGGCGCGTCGTCATCTCTTTGGTTGGCACAGCTTGACCTTTTGGGCTTTTGATATTTTGCCAAGCCATGCGGGATTCGTCTCTCAGGTCCCAGCATGGATCCTGATAATATTTGCGCCAACCAGCGTTCAGCCTCAAACGAACGCCAACTTGTCGACTTGTTAGCGCCTGACAAAACGCTAAGTGGAGCAACTTCAAGATTGGCAGACCAGGCTTGCCTCAGTTTCACAAACTGCTTCAGAAGATGTGATTATTCAGATACACACTTGAGCAACCAGCAGATCTCCTGCAATCAGGAACAGAGAGAGAGAGAGAGAGAGTCAGAAAGAGAGAGAGAGAGAGATTGGAGAAGAGAGGGAGAGAGAGAGCGAAAGAGAGAGAGAGAGAGAGCGAAAGAGAGAGAGAGTGAGAAAGAGAAAGAGAGAGAGAGAGAGAGAGATTGGAGAAGAGAGGGAGAGAGAGAGCGAAAGAGAGAGAGAGAGAGAGAGCGAAAGAGAGAGAGAGTGAGAGAGAGAGAGAGAGCGAGAGAGAGAGCAAGCGCGAGACATTACTGTATAGAGAGAGAGAGAGAGAAACACAGAAAGAGAGCAAAAAGAGAAGCAGGGATAGGACTAGAGACAGAGAGAGAGAGAGAGAGAGAGAGAAAGCAAAGCAAGCCAGTGGCGTGCCCTGCCATATGCCATGGTGGGCTATGCTGTGGGCATTGGTGGTGTTGGCCACAGCAAGTGGCCAGTGGCCGCCCTGCCCAGAGCGAGGATGCCTGGGCGCCCGGGTTTTTGACTCGTTCGAGCCATGCGGATCTGCAAATGCAGAACCCCCACCTAGCCACCAACACGGACTGTTTTTGGGTCGCCCTGCATAACCCCATGTCCAGCTGGGATATGCAAAACCTTGGCGTGTGCCAAAAACGCGTCGTTTGCCGAGGTTTGCCATGTCCGGCCAATGCAGATGGGCGCCCGAACTGCACCTGCTTAGAGGCGCATCGGGCTGTCATGTGGGTATGTGATTTTTTAAAGGTTGGACCCCCCCAAAATGGCTGGGTATTCCTTTTGGCTTTCCTTTGCCACAACAAAGGAGGTTCCCGCAACAAGAGGACCTGACGAGCGCTTCCCTTGCAGGGCCACAGTCTAGATGGCCTGCCGACAGAGCAGCGTGTGGTTCTCGACTGGGACACCATGCGAGGCTGTCCGAAGAGAGTTGGCAAACGAGAGAGGCATTTCTGCTAGGTTTTCTCTATGCCCAGCGCTTTGTGTTGTTTTGGTCACTGCTTGCGCATGGCATGCGCAGCTCATGCGCATGCGCGCACACGCATGGCACGCTCGTTTGCACGCTCGTTTGCACGCTCGTTTGCACGCTCGTTGCATGCACGCGCGTGCACACATGTATGGACGCGAGCGCGCGCGCGCGCACGCGCGCACAGAAAAGCTCAGGCGTACGCAGACGTGGACGTTCACACGATCTTTTTGCACAAACGCACCGTACGATACGGAACACCTAACGCTTGTGCCATTGACAAGGAATAAAGCAGAGCCTGGCGGACCAAGAGAGCATTCTGTTCGCAAGACGTGTCAGTGGGAAGAATTGGCACGAGAGGCTGGTCTGACTCCTGCCTCCCGGTTATTTGTGGGCAACCCCAACGTCCAGCTTATGCTGAGCCCACGAAGGACTGACGTATGATGTGGACTCATCGAGGCAGAGGCTTGCGCTAGCCTTCGTAGCAGCCCACGGTTGGTTGGTGACTGAAGACCGTGCCCTGTCTCCAGGATGCAGGGGAGAGTGTGTTCCCTGAGACCGTCGACTTCCTTTGCGAACAGGGATTCGATTCTCGGCCGACATTGGTGGAGCAAAGCCGGTGGTTGTCAAGCCAGTTTGGGTCGGGCCAATACATCTACCAGGTTGCACCCCCAGTGTAAGACCCTGTGCTGGTCCTAAGCTCACTGCCAAACAGGGCGTTAGTATGCTGGCCAGCCTGTTTGGATCTGAAACCGCCTGGTCGTGTTGCCAAGGAGGTGGAAGGATTCGGCAGCACTTGGGATTTGGCCTCCATCTCGGGGCAGCTCAACAGCAGCACCACCACCACAACATCAGGACTCAGGGCCTTTGAGGGGAGCATTCTTTGGATGTTTGAATGCTTGGATTTGTGCGTAAGCCTGACGAGCCGGCTGTTCCAGAAGCTTCGCGCAAATGGCTCCTCTCTTGGTGGATTCGGGGTTCGGACTTGGAGGCGCGCGTCTGGTGCGCTGGCGATGCTCAGCGCAGGGTGTCTTCGAGAACCTCACGGGCCAGCGCTGTGTGCCGTGGCCGCCGTAGCACATTTGGTATTTCAACTCAGGGAATATTCTTGGATGTGGGGGTCTCCAAGCTTTGGACTCCAGGGTTCGCACTCAAGCATTCTTTGCTCCAGGGGGCTCAATTTCCGAGAGCTTTGCGTTGAGGTGCCAGTTTGCGGAGATGGCATGCTTGTCCGGCACTGAGCAGTTCTTGGTCAATAGGCGTGACATTTGTGACTTGGTGGCTCGCGTGTGAGCGATTTGCACATTGTCTCCTTAGCCTCGAACATTGCAGAGCATGACGTCGACCCTTCAGACATTTGCATCCAGGTTCCAACTGACCACCTACCATGGGACGAGACTTGGCCGAGTCTAGCTTTGACTCACGCTGCGGTATATCATGTATCAAGAAAGAATGGCTTTTCCCGGTGGCCATGGACAGTGCCAGGACCCTCGGGAGCAGTGCGATGATGGCAACAACAATGCCGGTGACGGCTGCAGCGGGTGTCGTGTGGAGGCCGGCTTTGTCTGCACCGGGGGAGGCCCTACACAGCCGGACAGGCAGGGGATCTGCAAATTCTTCAAAAGATGTGCTTGAGTCTCCCAGCTTTCTTGCTTGCGCTTGCGCAAAGGTGCACCTTGGCAGCTGCTTGGGCGGAGAGCACCATCATCCTTTCGTTGACAGGCCGGAAGCTCTAGAGACGGCTTCGGGAAGAGACGTATGACTTGTTTTGTCAGGGTGGCCCTTTTTGGGTAGTTTTTGTTGGGAGTTGAAAGAGAAACTTGGAAATTTTGTCCAAGTCTCTCGTGGAGGAGCTCGTCAGCCCACCGCAGAGGAGGTGGCCCTGTCATCGACGGTGGCCTTGGCCGAGGAGAGAGCTGCGCAAGCAGAGCGAGTTGGAGGTTTCTCAAAATTGTGAACGCCTTCTTGGCTGGTGTTTAAGGGAGGCCAACAGGAGAACGGATTATTCGTGCCCCCCTATCTTGAGAAACACCCAGTTACTTTCCTTGCCGTGTGTTTGTGGACGGCCAGACATTTCACTGTCCACAAAGAGACGTTGAGATCGTCGAGGCGGGACATTCGACGTTCTTTTGCCCAGTGCCGGGGCAGACAAACTTGTTTTGAAATGCATTTTGTTTGTGAGCTTTTCTTGCTTTGGCAGTTTCGGCCATCCCTTGTGATCCTTGAGAACACTTGTCATTAGGGTGGATGGCTCCAGGGCAGTTTTTGCGAGGCATTCGCTTCACATCTTATGGATTCAGGTTATTGCGCCTTCGATGGCTACCACTTCCAATGTGTCAGATGAGTCCGTGCCTTTCAAAGCGGAGCGATGTGCACCTTTCGTTTGCTGGCTGTCCGAGAGACTGCGTCAGGTCCACAGCGAATCAAAGCCAGTCGCATGCTGAGTACGGCAAGTTGCTGTGTCCATGTCCAAGAGTTGCAGAGTTGGGCTTGTATGCGATTGTGCAGGTGTAAAGATATAGAAGACGAGGTTTGGGGATCGTTGGGGGAGTCTAGGGTTTCCGAACTGATGAACACCCCTCCCCTACCTTAACCTTACCAAAGGGGTGACAGTGCCCTTTGGTGTGGCGTACCGTCGCCCCCGGCCCATGTGGTCACGGCCAGGCTCTGCTCTCCTGAAGCCTCATGCTGCATGCCCGCCCCATGTTGCGTGCATGCCTTCGCCCCCCGCCCCTTATGCCCGTAGGTGTGCCAGGCGATGCTTTGCTCGTGCCTGCGTGGGTTGCGCTCCGGTCGGCGATGCGCGGCCCCAAGACGTTGCTTATTTGTGGGCGGCCCGCCGCCGGCATTGGCCCGTCTCCCACGCCTCCAGAACGCCGTGCGCAAGCTGAAGCTGCGGCGAGCAATTTGGCTGCCGATCATGCCCACCATCTCAGCCTCCTTGAAAGCTTCCAGCATCTCTGCAAGTGCCGCTCCCCCCGCCTGCCCTGGGACTTTTCAACGTCTCAACGCGGGTTTCCTCAGTCCGTCAAAGACATTTCTCTGCTTGCCAGCACTTTGATTCGCCCTGGGCTTTCTGGCTCGCTGCGTTCTTCTCTCCTTGACGCCTTCCCGCCCCTCAAGGGTTGTCAACCTGCTTTGCCCAAAAGTCCAGCAGAAGCGATATCGTCCAAAAACACAGCACCATTCAATTGGCGCAGCTTCCACGCTAAGCCAGCTTTGCGGCTTCGCAAAGCCCGCCCTTTCCTGCCTTTCTCATGAAGCTCTGAGTCTGACGGCAACGCGTGGAGCGAGGCCTTGTCAGGGGTTTGGGCAGGCGACGCCCTATGCGTGAGGGCTGGCGGGGTGGGCAGCTCATGTCGGGCTGGCGTGCTGCGGCGGCGCCCGGGACCAAGTGACGACATGGTGCAGTCAACGCCCTCTCGTCTTTCGCCGCAAGAAAGTTGGCAAAGCGTGTGGCTAGCGATTGCTCGCAAAGGCCGAACCCCTACCTGGGAAAAAAAGCAATAGGAATTTGGCTGTGGGATGTGGTGTTGAGAGGTAGAAGCCGCTTAGAAGCCAGCGTCGCATGAGAAAGCGCGTTGCGTTGGAGAGCAGTGGCGGCTGCGGCAGCTACATCGCAGACGGGTTCCGAGACGATCTTGAAACAGGTTCGCCTCTTGCAGACTCTGCCTGCGCTCTCCGCGGTGTGGGGGAAGCGTTGACCGTGCCGCTCCTGTCGAGCGAATCGTGCTGCAAGCCTTCGCGACACTCGCGACACCTTCTTGGCGCCTTCCACGTTGGTGTGTGTTGCGCCAGCGCGCGAGAGCTGCGCATACATACATACATACATACATACATACATGCATGCATGCATGCATGCATGCATGCATGCATGCATGCATGCATGCATGCATGCATGCATGCATGCATGCATACATGCATACATGCATACATGCATACATGCATACATGCATACATGCATACATGCATACATGCATACATGCATACATGCATACATGCATACATGCATACATGCATACATGCATACATGCATACATGCATACATGCATACATGCATACATATATATATATATATATATATTTACATACATATATACCCACATACATACATACATAACATAACATAACATAACATTACAAAACAAAACAAAACATAACAGAACAGAACAGAACAGACATACTTACAGACATACATACATACATTCAGTGCATACATACATTACATACATACATACATACATACATACATACATACATACATACATACATACATACATACATACATACATACATACATACATACATACATACATACATACATACATACATACACATACATACATACATACATACATACATACATACATACATACATACATACATGCATGCATGCATGCATGCATGCATGCATACATACACATACATACATACATACATACATACATACATACATACATACATACATACATACATACATACATACATACATACATACATGCATGCACATACATACATGCATGCACATACATACATATACATACATACATACATACATACATACATACATACATACATACATACATACATACATACATACATAATACATACATACATACATACATACATACATACATACATACATACATACATACATACATACATACATACATACATACATACATACATACATACATACATACATACATACATACATACATACATACATACATACATACATACATACATACATACATCACGCACACCTACACATACACGTACACATACGCATACACATATACATATACATATGTGGGTGGGTGGGTGGGTGGGTGGGTGGGTGGGTGGGTGGGTGGGTGGGCGGGTGGGTGGTCGGCTGGGTGTGTGTGTGTGTGTGTATATGAGGGTTAGTGCTTCGGAGCCCCTGCTGGAGTATCTCAAGCTGAGGTTCCACACCTCCCGCCAGGCAATGCAGGCGCCGATGCGTTTGCTCGTCGCGCTGTGCAAGTGGCAAGACATGGCGCTCGCACGTCGCTGATCCCATTCTTGTGACAGCTCAATCCGAGCCCATGAGGCATTGCTGTGAATACGCAGCAGAACGAACAAGCACGCCCCACACCAGTCCATCAGTCCATCAGTCCAGGCGGCTTTCCAAAGAATCGAGCCCATGAGTGCATGGCAGTCCTCGAGGATTTTTTTCCGCTCGCGGCGCTGCCATGGCGACCACGGCTCACTTCTGGGATGACGAGGCTGCAGAGCGCAGCAAACACACGCATGCGTTGTTTCGAAGATTGAGGTGTACGCTGAGTTCTACAAAGTCAGCTCGGCCGAGCGGAGTATTGTGAACGAGGCCGGGAATGGCTGCCAATTCAGGAGGAGCCACTAGGTGGATTTGCTCTGCAGATTGTGAGCGTGAACAAATGAGGCTCTTGATTGTTTCTGGGAGAGTCCGCGAATTAGTGGACATGTTGCTCCGTGACTAGACTGAGCATGTGTGCTCCTTTCGTTGACCGTGCTTTGTTTGGCTAGGGGCTCGGACTTGTCATTGCGTTGAGCTTTTGTGAGCCATGATCACGCAGTTGGTATTTCTCGCTCCTGTGATTCCTAGGGCTCTGGATGAGTTCTTCGACGGTTCTGGTTACTCAGGTGACCCTCGGCAACTGGAGGCCTGTGAGGCCGGCCGCGGTTTTCCAATGCCGCGGTTTTCAAGTTTGGCGCTAGGAGTTTGTCGAAAAGGTGGACCCTTTTGGCAGTTTTCTTGAAGGACCCTGAAAGGAGAAATGCCCAATGGGGCTGCAATTGTTGCAGCCAGGGCGGAGCTGGACAAGTTCCAGGGCTGCTTCGCAGCGTGGAGCGGTGCACTGAGAGACGGGCAAGACAAGATGCATGATTATAGGTGTCATTTTTGGTTGTTTTGGTAGAAAAGTAGATGGCCCTGGTTTACCTGGTGGTTTAATCATCTACCAGGGCCATCTATTTCCCCTAAAAGGACACCTATGTGCATGACCACATATTTCACATTGCCTAGGCGTGGGAAGAGGCACATTGAAGCACACGGATTTTAGGCGCGCAGTTGTCACTGGCCCAGCGTCTCACGAGACCCCAAGCTGACGTCCATTCGCCGACGCGTCGTTGTCACAGGCCCTTCCTTGCGGAGCTGGGCATTCAGCTGACGCCGGCTCAGGCGCGCAAAACTGGGGGGACTTGAAACGGACATGAAGCAATTTGGGCAGATCCCGTGTTTTGAAACACAGGCTTGTTGAGATGGAAACGGACTCCCGATGCTTTCCCTCAGCGTTGCGGGCATGCTTGAAGCAGTCGGCTTGCCAGAGTCATAGGTTCTCTATACGGTTTTTTGCAACAGGAGTTCACGAGTTGCTGCTGACAGGCCCGCTCTTTGTGGCAAGACTTGGCCAAAGAAGGCCAGCGTCGCGCGTTTGACGCAGCCTGGCCTGCACATGTGCTGCTTTGGCCCGGGCAGGAGCCAAGGATCTCACATACGAGCAGGCCTCTCGACTGTTCCAGTGGAGAGCTTGGGGGTGGACTGCCAGCTCGTTTTTCTCTCCGAAATCCAGGCTTTGCTGGCGTATTGCAAGGTGAAAGAGGCCCCAGTGCCCTCCTGGCAAGTTTTCGCTTGATCGAGGGGCCAGCATTTTGAAATGGGGACTGATCAATATTCCGGGCCCCCAAATGACCTCGGGTCACTTTTCCAATTTAGTGGAAAATACGTACATATATATATATATATATATTTGTCAGTGGTTTTCTCCAATGGTCATCCCATGTAAAGGACCTTTTGATCAACCCCCAAAGAGTGAAATGTGTATGCCGCGTGCCGCACCTTGCACCTTGCCAGGGCCTTCCGGGCCTGCAGGGGCGCAGCGCCGCCCGGGCCGGGGGCTGAGGTTGCAGAAATCCAAAAAGTCATGAAGCCCTATGGAAGCGATTGTCGTTTACCCAACTGTTTTTTTTTGGCAGCCGTCCGGAGCATTTTTGTTGATCCCCGGTTTGTCAAGGCATCCCTTGGAGGAGCTCCCTTGCATGGCCCAGGACGGGTCAGCAATTCCACACCTGATGGCAAGATGCTGAGTCCTCTTGCAGGTCGAGTTGTAAGCCCGCAATTCCAATGTAGGTTGCTACGCTCAAGTTCCACGGAGCACATGTTGCCTGAACTTTGGTTGTTATGGGCTTTGCAGAGGACTTGCAGCTTGAGTTGGACGAGATGCTGCCAGAGAGGAGGCTTGCGTGCATGGCAGCTCACCTGCCTTCGTCGTGTTCGGAGTGTTCAGATGAAACCTGGAAAGGCACGTTGCCTCGGCATCTCTCCCGGCGTCATGGGCTTTCGAAGCTTGTGTACTACACAACGCAGGTTAGCGATGTGGCCTTTCCGGACAAGAACGTATGTCTAAACACCAGCTTCCTGATGCTGCCACCATTATTCACGAAAGCTGGCGTGTTAGCTGGAACGTGCTGAGGCCAGGGATTCCCACAATGCAGTGATATACCGTGCTAACTGCCCCTCGCCGACTGGGGCCACAGCCGCTCCGCTCTGTCCACTCTTCGCTCCGCACTGTTCGCTCCTCTCCCCACTGCAACACTTTTGCGCTCGGCGTGTTCTTTGGGCTTTATTCCTTGAAACCACTTTGAGTCCGGACCAAGGAACAGTATAGGACACAGGGATGTTGGAGTGCTTTGGGCATTGTTCTTTCCTTGTGATTGCGCCGGAGCGCAGCAACTACCAGAGTTTCTTGGTTTCGAATCTACGCACCAACTCAGAACTCAGCCAAAAAGCAACGTCCTTTGTAGCCACAGGACCACCTGAATTTACAAGCCTGCATACAGACGCAGACAAGGAGTTTGTACATTCGCTCAAGTGCCATATTGCAGAGCGTGGCAAGCAGCGCGCTGCCAAAGCATTCCTGTCCCTGCGATGCCGGCCAGGCTGAAACCCCAAGCAAGAAGCCAGTGGCCAAGCTATTGGCATTCGTGCGATGGCTTTGTTTGACATTGTTTGGAGTTGCGTGGCCGACTCAGCTCGGCTGCTCAGGTTTGACACGCACGACCTTCATGGTTTGTGCCCGCTGATTCTCTTTGAGTCAACCAAGCCCAGAATGCTTGTCGCGTTCCCTGCATTTGTCATAAAGACAAAAGAAACAAGAAGCACAAAAAACAATAAGCTCAGGTGACATCCCCAACAGCATGCGGTGCTCTTTTTAGTGCTCGCACCACCCCGCAGCCCTCGCAGGACCTCGTAGAACCCTCGTGGAACTTTGGTGGAACCCTGGTGGAGCCCTCGTGGAACCTTACCTCAGGGCCGCCCCGGACCACCCCGGAGCCTATCTGGTCTCAGCACCCCAACGCTTTCAGCTGTTGGGGAAACACAAAGTCATGTTAATCTCCCCGCAGAGAAACAACAACATAATGAAAATGATAATAATAATAATAATAATAGTAATAATAATATTAATTATAATAATAATAATAATAATAATAATAATAATAATAATAATAATAATAATTAATATTAATAATAATAATAATAAAATTAATAATAATAATTAATATTAATAATAATAATAAAATTAATAATAATAGTAATAGTAATAATAATAATAATCATAATAATAATAATAATAATAATAAAAATAATAATAATAATAATAATAATAATAATAATAATAATAATAATAATAATAATAATAATAATAACAATAATAACAATAACAATAACAATAATAACAATAATAGTAATAATAGTAATCCTACTAATAATAATAATAATAATAATAATAATAATAATAATAATAATAATAATAATAATAATAATAATAAAAATAATAATAATAATAATAATAATAATAATAACAATAACAATAACAATAATAACAATAATAGTAATAATAATAATAATAATAATAATAATAATAATAATAATAATAATAATAATAATAATAATAATAATAATCATAATAATAATGATAATGATAATAATAATAATAATAATAGTAATAATAATAATAATCATAATAATAATACCAATAGTAATAACAATAATAATGATAGTAATAAACACTTATATACAAATATATATATATATATATATGACGGGATGCCCTCCCATCGTCAAGCCGCTGAGCTGCCAAGGTCTTGGCCCAGGCCTCCCACTGGCAGAGGCGAATGGGGATGGCGACCGGACAAGCAAGTGGATTGTGGCTCAAAATAGGGTAACCCCGAAATGGCCCCAAAACGGTAAATGGAAACAAAGACCAACACCTGCGTAACCATAGCTAATAAATTTTGAGCCACACCCATATTAATATGTATACATATATATATATATATAAACGTATGTATATATATATATACATATGTATATATGTATACATGTATATATGTATATATGTATATATGTATATATACATATATACATATATATGTATATACATATATACATATATACATATATACATACATATGTATAAATATGTTGGAGATATACCCTTTTACAGCTGGTACATTACACTTCCATTTGGCCCTCCATTATGCATATATGTATATATATATATACATATATTTGTATGTGTCAAACTCGGGGCTCCGGATCCTTGGTATGACCCAGATTAGTATCATGGCGCCTTCCCTTCAAACTTGTCTCCCAACAGCTGCCCAAGTTTAGGTGGACAGCCGTTGACGTGAGCCAGGCTTGTGACTTCCTCGCGGCAGAGGGCGTTCTGCACAGCCGTGATGAGCTACGGGCTCGGATGTGAACCAGGTTTAGGAAACGGCTGGGGAAGGTTTGGGAAAACTCAGCAGCCACGGCGGACATTTGAGCTCATCCAGGCTCTATTGCACTCCCCCTTTGTTTTCCCAGCTCTTTGCACGTAGAGATTCGACCTTGTACGGCATTGTACAACCATTGATATTGGCTGAGTTGGATTGTTCAGGCTTCGGAGATATTGCGAAGAAGGTGCTGTA